CCTGATTAAGCAGATCGTGTATCAGCAAGACGTTAGGCATGCGCATACTGATTTCTACTCTGTTTGAAGCAACATTTTGGGAAATACGCTCATTTGCTTTCTTCCGCTGGTCAACTGCCCAAATCTATGGTTCAAAGTTCATCAAGTTCAACTCCAAGCGAAACATTTTGGCAGATGTGTTCCTCACTTGTGAGCCAATCCAGTAACAGCAGTGTTTACATTGGAGCAAATTCATTTCACCTTAGAATCCTGCTCTTTGAAAAGCTGCTATGACAGGATGAGCGTGCTGGTGTGTCTGTCGCTGATGCAGAGTAGTTTCAAAAACACACACAAATCTGCACAAGCCTACATGGAGCGCTTGTGCATGAACGTCTTCACACGTTTATTATACACGCAGAGGAATGATTTGAATCAGTTTCACAAACCTGGCTGAGTCTGGAGGCGAAAAAGTCAATCAGTGCATACCTATAATTATTCAATAATACGAGTACGTTCTTCACTAAAGGCGTTTTATGTGCTACAATTTTCATTTTAATGGTAGTTTTGGTTTCAGTGATGCTGTGAGGATCTAAATTACATTTCCGTTTCAGTTTTTTTTTCCCCCAAAAAACAAACCAAACAAAATATATATATATTTGGCATTAAAACTGTAACTAAATTACTGATCAAGAGCAATAGCTGAGTCAGCTGTAATCAGTCAATAGAGGGAGAGAGGAAGACGGTACAATTCGTCCTTATTCTGACCCCTGGACATGGCACTATAGACATTCAACAGCCAAACTGTAAACTGTGTTGCTTTATTTTTATCCTTCTGTCTGAATCCTTTCCTCCATTACACTTACAACAGAATACCTATCTGCCTATTTTCTCTTTTTACCCCTTCTCTTCTTCCCCCTCAAGGCACCATCCTTTGACAATTTATCCCTCCATCTTCCTCTCGTCTCTCTCTGTCTCTCTGTGGGGAATGGCCCAGTAATGCCAGACTAATAAATCATTCATGGCATTGCCTCCCCTCCTCCCTCCTCCCTCCTCCTCCTCCTCCATCCTGCCATCCTCCCATCCTCCCTTTCCCTCGCTGCTTTACTGTAGCGGTGACCGCATCACCACACCCGCGGACAATTGCAATTCACACAGACACACAAGCACACAACAAAAATAAGAGTTAATCAGCTCTCTTTTTTTGGGCTTGCTCCTACACAGGCTTAGATTACTTAAAAAGATGCATCATAAATCAGATGTGGGAGGCAGCATCGGCTGAGTTACAATACAAACAGATACGTCAAAGCCCAGACAGGTCATAGCCACACCAGACAGATAGAGAGACAGTGGGAGGGAGCGAGAGAGAGAGAGAGAGAGAGAGAGAGAGAGAGAGAGAGATGCACAGAGAAAGAGAGGAGGAGGGGAGGGTGACTGCAAGCAAATTACAGGGATATAACACATAGCTACACAGTTTTTGAGTGTAGGATGTGTTTAATGCGTAGATAAGCAGTTGGTGTTGTTGTATGCGTGTGTGTGTATGTGCATAACAACCTCTGGCTAATAACCAGCATAAACTTTGAAAGAATGAGCGCCCCTCACAGCGGTCAAATCAGTTGACTACATTACCATCACATTTCCAAATTTACGACTAAAAAGGCCAATGAGCCCTCGGAGTTTTTAACCAAGAAAGACCTCCTTCATTCCGCTTTTAAGGGACTAGGAGGGCCAAGATGACACATGACAGTTTTCCTGACGTTCAGGCTCATTTCTCACATTCAACAAAAAAACCACAAGCCTGACAAATTGTCTTCCTTTGTGGCAATTTTCACCGCTCATTTTGTCTTAGACAGAATAAGGCAGCTCCTTCTTTCATACATGGATAAAGCAAAGTGTCACTGGCCACCAATACTTCCAATAGTCCCAAACACTAAAGTGATGGTGCATGCATGTGCATGACCTGTTAAATTGCCCCTTAGGACCTCTGATGGCCCTTTAGTAAGACAGCCCCACCCACACAAACACCCTTTTTTCTCTTTTTTTTAACACCCTGCAGTGGAACAATGGATTTTGTGGTCACAATGTGTTATAGTTAATGCATTGAACAGTTGGCTGAGTAAACATGAGAAATAAGCACAAAAATTACAACATGTGCAAGACTTGAAAGTGTTGAGTAATTCAGATTATGGGATGCACCGATTGGAACATTCAGGGCCGATACCGATGTGTAAAATAACAATTTGGCTGATAGCAGATGCCGATGCATTTTTGCATCTCTGCCCTGTTGCAGCTCAGGCCATCTTATTTGCTGATGTCAGTCAACTGGGCAAATATCGGCCAATACCGATGTTCAGCCGATAAATCGGAGCATTCCTAATTCAGATCTTTAATGTCAAACTATACTAACTTCCATTTATTCCACCAGATATGAAATCCATGATAGTGAACGATAAGCATTCTCTATTTTTTGTCAAACTTAAGCACATAGTTACATAGCAGCTCCAAGCAGAGACTCCTCTTTTCTGGTGCGTTCAACTAACTAAAAATTAGAACTTAACCCGAGAGTAAAACCTTGCACCAAAATGTCCAATACCGGTACATACTTCGTCAGCATTGTAAGAATTGCATTGTACTGTATCATGAAGTATCCTGAGCTAAATCGCGAAAAAACATCAGAAAGGTCTTTTCAGATCCTTCAGATTACTAAGGAGTGTAGGGCTGAACGATTTATCGTTTTCTGATCGAAATTGCGATTTCAGACAACGCGATCATGTGATCGCTAAAGCTGCAGATTTGCAGCGCTCCTGACTGACCCAGGATCTGTTGTGTCAATTATTTTACACATACATGCCGTCTCCCTACCATCCTGCCAAGCTCACCAATAAGAAGCGGCATGCTACTTGTGGACAGGTCACGCTAACCAATCAGTATTAACCTACTCCTTAATTCCTTAATTGTAATTAGCAGAAATAGCTTCAGCTGGACCAGAAGCAGAGTTAAGGGATTTAATCCCCAAGAAAAACA